TAGGTGATACAATATTGGAATCAGCTATATACAAGATGCATAATCATTCTGAGGATACTATAGATGATAAAAATACGCTAAGGCGAATGTCTTTAGTATGATATTTTTGTACTTGTTTGGTCTTCATATATTATACAAGTGGCACGCAAACAGTCCTTAATTAAAATGTTCTCATTTGTTCTCATTATTGACTCTTGGAGAAAGATTCGGTATGTAATATGTTCCATGGTTGGCGTCACTAATAAGTCCCTTCTAAGTTATGCAGTAATGCAACAATTATCCTTCAATCCTTGTTTAATCATGCATGTGGACATCATTATTAATTTTATACTAGCTGAGTTTAGGAATTTTCCCAGCCCAATTTTTTTCCCATTTTTATTTTTTTTCATTGAATGCTTGGTGAGTGCAGTAAATTGGCAATTGTTTCAGTGGCATTATTGGCAGATGTGGCTGTGCTTTTTTATTATTCTGCTTTCCATACATAATTTCAAACCTAATTCATTCACTGAGATTGTAAAAGAGGTCTAATTTATGCAATTATCTGATTCATGTTGTATGGAGTTAATGTGTTGAGTTATTACAGCTGTAAATAAGTTTTATACTTTAAGGTAGCATTCCTATTTATTATTAACTTATTTACTTTTGGCTCCTGGGTTTCTGGGCTGTCTCAGGTTTCAGCCGATTGTCAAGAATTTGCGAATTTGAATCTCAACTATGCCACAATCATCCATGCCCAGCATTCCAAAGAGTATCACTGGCTCAGCTTTCTGGGATGGTATTATTCTCTTTTCTGTCAGTCAAAGTGACAAACACTACAGTTAAAGCATATGTACAGAATAAGGCAGTTAGTACTCTCTTCTTATCATATCATATCTTATTTCTTTTTCTTATCTTATTATCCTATCACAGTACAACAGTTTGAACAGGTTGAAATTAGCAACAACTAATTTGTGGAGGAAAAATGGGTAGGGTTTACTCCACCTACAGTTAAGTAAATAGCAGGAGTTTGGTAATGTTTAAGCTCTTGAAAGGACAAATGTTAAGAGAAACCTGGCTAATAAAACAGTTTTGCAAACAGGTTCATCCTGACCATGATTAGTACTTAAACATTATTGAGGTGCTTTGCCAATAGATTTATCACAGTTCACAATCTTTTTTAAAAAAAAAAATCATTTATTATTGTTTCCTTCATTCTCTACACAGCACCTCATCTATCAATTCTCATGATGACACTAATACTACTCCGACACAGATACTCACATGCTAAGCCTCAAGTGTAACAAACTGCATCAAGCACATTTGTTTCTCTCACAAAAGTGATGGATGTTGGGAGAAAATATCTCTCAGGATGAATATCTTTGTGAACAGACAGCTCTTTGTCATATGAAACGACTTTCTGATGGTCGCCTAGAGTCCAATAGTACACTCGGGACTGAGTGTAGGGGTAGACACACAGTGAAATATGAGTCCACTTGTTCTGTAGTGCTCTGTGTGAGGATGGGACCTAGCCAGAACCTTGTGTTCTTTCTGTCAGGGATGTGGGGTATGTGGCCTGTAGACTCTCCAAATTCAGCAGCCTCACAACATTACACATGATCTACACTGGTTACATGGTTAGCGGTTCAACATTGTGGCACAGACCTCACCCAGAATTGTTAGGGAACACGATGAACACATATGTCTTGTCTTATGACAGTGTTGTCTAGCTTTCCAATGTGATTTATGGATTATGGAATATGTGAAATTGTGTAAGGTTAAAAAATGTCAATATTTTAAGGCATTTATTCCACATTAGTCAAATAATTACAAGCTTCACTGAACTGCATCTAGCCCAAGCACTCATCATTTTACATTATGTGTGTAAGGTTCAGCATGAATGCCTGAATCTAAGCACATAAGATTTTTCCAGTGTTTTGAAAACTTGCCCTTTTATCCCATGTGATTTGACTTCAAGGGTTTGATTCCCCCTCTCAGTGTATCTTAGTGGTTTTGAGACATTTCCTCAACTTTGAAAAGCTTTGCTTTTAACGAAGGCCAAGTCCTTGTCTCATATTACGATGTATTAATATTATGAAATATTAAGGCATTTATTACTGTACAACTATTGTACATTAGTCAAAATCTTGTTGAAATGCATCTATCCCCAGCACTGAACATTTTACTCTAAAGATGCTCTGCTTTGTGTGAGGATGAGCCTGAGTGCTTGAATATAAGCACATAATATTTCACTAGTGTTTCAAAAAACTGGCTTTGTTTTCCGTGTGTTTTGACTTCAAAGGTTTGATTCTCTCTCAGTGTATATAAGCGGTTTTCATTTCCTCAACTTTGAACCAACTGTTTAATGGCTTTTGCATTGTTTCTCCCAAAGCATCACTTTAAATGAAGGCCAAGTCTCATTTTCTGCAAGGATCCATGTAGGCAGCACCAGAGAATAATTGAGCTATGACCTTAGAAAAAAAAAATGAACTAACACACTGAGCACTTCAACGTTTGCACCAAAGCCTGTGCATTTGCTGTATTATGTTGGGAGTCAAGACAGCTGGAACCTGATTAATGACCAAGCCTTTCCGGATGTGTTCCTCCCAGACACATACCACTTCTTTGGTGGGATTTTGTAACTGCTCATTAGTCATTTTTGACAGTACATATTGCGAAGACTGAGCATTAAAACCTCCATCTAAGCTTCAGTATTAGATTCTGGATTGCTTTCCAGCACTGCTGGGTATTTGTGGTTGTCAGAGAGGTCATAATTGGCAGACAGCTCTCACCTTGGCCAGCCTGTGACAGCCACATTAAATAACAGCATTTACCCATAGGCCACCTTGTGTTCTGAGCTGTGGAGGCCAAACCCAGCTCTCCACCACATCCCTCTAGACAAAGCTCATTTGTTTCCACTTCATCTTGGAAATACCTGCAAGGTGCTTCCATCATCCTAATAAAGCAATGGATGAGCGGCTTCCAGACGTTCCAATTACCCACTGGACTTTTTCATCCACTTACAAAAAAAATCATCACCTACGTATAATGACCAGGCTGCATAATTTGATTGTTTCTTTAAGAATTTGGAAGAGGGGAGATGTTTGGAGATGGACATTATCATTTCTCTGTGCTTGACAATAGTTCAGAGTTCTGAAGATGTCAGTGTGTGTGCAGTGATCAATAAAATAAAAGACTAAATTTACTGTATGTCCAAGCCACACTTTAAAGCCATGTCTAATTCTAAGGAGACTCTAAGGAGGAAGCCATGTTACTTCAAGTAAAAGAAGGTTGATACGTTCCTTAACTTGATTTTTGTATCACACGAAGTCCTCGCTTCGCTTTATGCGAATCTATCATGTTCCTAATTAGTGCAGTGTGAGTACACATACCTATAAGCTCAGCCCTGTTTCATTGCCTCCTTAATAAATTTGGTAATGGAAAAAGAACTCTCCAGATTTCCCGGTCACCAGATTTCATGGCGTCATTACACAAAATCTTGCCTGCACTCAATGAGTCCTTGTTCTCATGCTATATGTGTTCCTCTCGTCAGCGAGTAACCAGTCATTTTGGCACTTATTTCAGTCCTGACATGATATCTGATAGTTTGGCTCTATTCTCAAGCTTAAAGTAGGAGAAGTCCTGCTTTTGTCATCTCTCAAATAAATAAAAAAAAAAAGGCTAAAATAAATATGATGTAGCAAGTGAACTCTACTGTTACCTTCTCCTGGGGTTTCACAGCTGGTCGGACCACTAACAGTGCTGTTCAAAAGCCCACTTAAGCCTTTAAGACACAAGGAAATGTATTACAGAGAGACATAAAAGATGTTTCCTCAGTTATGGGCTAGAGTTTCTTTCAACCCACGCTGAGGATTAGGATAGACTGTGGGTTTGTTATGGCACTGTGGTGTGAATCTATGTGTGTGTGAGTGAATTTGCACAGTGGATCTGAACATGCATGTACACCTTCAGATAAAATAACAAGAACACCACGGTATCATATTCACTCTTTACTGCAGGCTTATTAAGGCTGGAGTAGTTTTGGCTGTGGTGGAGTATTCCCTGACCACTTCAGCTGTTTGGCTCCTGTCCCTTCAATCCAACCGCAGGCTAGTGCTGCTTAGTGGGAGTCCGTTTCTTGTGACTGTCTGAGCCTGCCTGTGCTTTTTAGGAAATGTTTGCTCCAATCCATTACCTAGATCTAGTTCGTATTCTAATCAAAGATATCTAAATAGAGTGTCCATGCATAACATTTTCTCTCATTAGACTTCTTCTTCTTCTTCTTCTTTCGGCTTTTCCCTTCAGGGGTCGCCACAGCGAATCATCACTCTCCACCTATCCCTATCTTCTGCATCCTCAACACTTGCACCCACTAGCTCCATATCCTCATTTATTACGTCCATATACCTCCTCTTTGGCCTTCCTCTTCGCCTCCTGCCTGGCAGCTCCATGTCCAATGTTCTCCTACCAATATACTCACTCTCCCTCCTCTGAACATGTCCAAACCATCTTAATCTGGCCTCCAAAACGTCCAACATGAGCTGTCCCTCTGATGTACTCGTTCCTAATCCTGTCCAACCTCGTCACTCCCAAAGAGAACCTCAACATCTTCAGCTCTGCTACCTCTAGCTCTGACTCCTGTCTCTTCCTCAGTGACACTGTCTCTAAACCATACAGCATGGCCGCTCTCACCACTGTCTTGTACACCTTCCCCTTGATTCTCACTGATATTTTTCTATCACACAGAACTCCCGACACCTTTCTCCACCCATTCCCACCTGGGGGTTGGGGTTGTTTTTCTCACTCTCTAATGTTCTGGCATGACTCACTAAAGTTGTTGTTCCTCTTTCAGCTGCTCCCATTAGGGGTTGCCACCACAGATCATTGATCTGCATATTTGATTTGGCACAGTTTTTACACCAGATGCCCTTCCTGATTATTATTATTATTTTTTTTATTTTATCTGTGCTTGGGACCGGCAGTGAGACCACACTATTGCATGCAACCCCAGTGGCTGGGGTTGGTTCCCTGGCCGGGAATCGAACCCAAGCCACAGTGGTGAGAGTGTTGTGGCCTAACCACTAGTCCTCCAAGGACCCTACTCACTAAAATTATTATTCAAGAAAAAATATTTAAGAAAAGAAATTGACAACAAATGTTCACAGTGTTGGACAGCTATACAAACAGAACGAGGTGTTCCCTCTATGTTCATACAGCATGGCTATGATGTATGATTGTATTAATCAAATTGTAAAACTGCTTAATCTGTTTGCCAGCTGTGTGATGCTTTTTGGTCTGTTGTAAGGCAAAAGATTTCTAATCCTCTGGCATGAGTGAAATAGTGATGGATGAAATAGGGTCAGTGTTATCCTAAGGCTGATTTATTTTTTTTTTTTTCAAATTAAAGGCCTTGAAGATGACGTTTATGGAAGTTTTGCAAAGATTAAACCACTTTATAGGCTTGCATACTCTCTGCGGTTTCATATTAGCTTTAGTGTATGAGTGCTCCAGTATTGTAATAGTGTGGCACTATAACAATTTCATGACAAATGCCAAGACTACCAGAAGAAGATTGCTTGCAGGGCACACCTCATGTGTAATGACCAGTCACAGGCTTGGTTGAATATTGTGTTCATCACAGGAGTTCACTCAGCTGCCACGTGCATGACATGGCAAGCAAAGCCTGTGTACGGCTCCCATTTACTCTGAAATCATGTCATGTTGTTCATAGCAGCCAGCCAAACGTCATCTCCACAGGAACAAAACAAGCCTGTGATGGTTGATACGAAAACCAGCTCTGGGTTAGATGACTTATTAAAACCTGCTTTCTGGCAAAACAGTATTCAACTATTTTGGCAAAATCAAAGGTTCCAACTATTTTTTTCCTTATAAAATATTAGGAACGTGGCCAAAGCAAAAGCTAAAGGATTTACACTGTTGCATAACAGTTACATAATCTGACCCCCTGGCAGGAGTGTGATCATCACTCCTGAGTGTTCATGCTCCAAGGTGAAGCTTTCCAAAATCACGCTGGACTGCTGCACCCGCTGAACATCCGAGACCAAAACAAGAGCATCGCAGTTCGTCTAATTTATGGCTCAGGGATTCTTCTACTTTTCCAGTCTAAGAATTATTCTGATGAACAATGGTACAACATCATATGCTGTTGACAGACTGGTTTAGCTATAGTGTGTTTAAACATAATTGACATAATGATAGTGATTTTTGGTTTTACAATTTTACCACCCATACAAGCCTTTAAATATTTATATAATATGTCTATGCACTGTTATTTCTGCATTTAGTAGAGAATCAGAGGAATTTACTTGCAGACCATCTGTCATTAGGGTATACACAGAAGAGTGTATGTTTATCAGTTTTGTTACAGAAAATACAAGTGTTGAAATGCAAAAATCTGAGTAGACTTGAAAAACAAAGATTCTGGGTATGAAATATATATATATATATTTTATTTCTTTTTTTTCAGTCATTTTATGTATGTGACTACTGTGCTTATATTGAGTATCAGATGCGCCTCTGTCAAAAAAAACTTCAAAACTTTCATTTCCCAGATTTTGAATCTTGTTTTGTGTCTAATTTTCCTGTCTAGATATCGATGAGTGTGAGGATGAGATGATCTGTGGCAAGCATGGCTTCTGTGAGAACACAAATGGCTCCTATTATTGTCATTGTGACCAAGGATATGTCAGTACACCCGAGGGCCATGGTTGTGTTGGTATGGAAGTAGAAAATACTTTATTAACTCATATCTATGACTCCATGAAAAAGGGGTTTAACTAATTGAACTATGAATCCGTGTTGTGTGTGTGTGTGTGTGTGTGCAGATGCAGATGAATGTGAAATAAGTAGTGAGTTGTGTGGTGAAGCTCATTGTGAGAACGTGGAGGGAAGCTTCCTGTGTCTCTGCCCCACTGATGATGAGGAATTTGACCCCATTACTATGCAGTGCAAACCCCGCCACATGATCTTACCAGGTACAGAAACATAAAAATACATGTATGCATGCATACTAACCATTTTTACATCATCTGTATCATAAGTGGCTCCGATGGCTCTATTTCCACAACAGGTGAAAACAATTTGTAAGTTCAATATTCCTATAACTCTCAGTTACACTCAGAACAAATTGCGCAAGTGCATCCAGGTTCTTTTACTTGATTTGATACTCCATATTGTGCATGCAGTGGAGACACAGCCTAAAGCCAAGTTTCAGTCAAGTTAATTCTGCTTCAGGGTGAGCTGTTGGCACTTCATATGTGGAAACATTTTTCAACAACTAACAGCTCTGAGCATAAGCAGATTACTGACCAGCAATGCAATTTGGAAAAGGCCTTGGAGTAACTTTATCTTGTGGTGTGAAATTGGCCTGTCAAATAGATAACAATAGAGAATATGATTTAAAAACTCAGAATGTTCTAAATCTCTTGATATTTCAATCAATTGATTAAAAAAAAAAGATACAAATTGTTGGCTCTGTCAGAGATTTAGATTAAATCTGTTGTGTAAATATGGCCAGATGCCATAGAACTGTGATCAGGTCACTCAGGCTGTGTTTGAAATATCCAGTAAACATTACAGCATTACGTGAGCAATGATTCCAGTTTCTTGTGACACAGCAGGGCTCATCAAGTCTAGAGAGCAACTGCATTTTTATATTTCAGGCATTTTAGTTTAAACCCAAGTTTAATACACGGAATAACAGTGTACAGTCTGTTTTTAAAGTGTCCCTCTGTCTTCTAGCCTTCTGACTGGTGTTCTTTATGTGTTCAATGTGGGAATCATATCAGACTCCGCAGGACATGACCTCCCTGCTCCTCCCCATGGTGCCTCTGATGACGAACAGAGGAAGGATTGCTACTACAACCTAAACGACGCCAACTTCTGTGAAAATGTGCTCTCCAGTAATGTCACCAAGCAGGAATGCTGCTGCACTGTGGGAGCAGGCTGGGGAGACAACTGCAACATCCACCCGTGCCCACAAAACGGACAAGGTAGGGTACCACCAGATGAATTTTGGTGTGTTTTTATTGGCCCCTCCCTAAATATGCCTGACCTGTACATGTGAATGTGTCTTTTGGAAGCCATTTTTAATGTGTATATCCTCAGTGGAGTATGCTGAGCTGTGTCCTCATGGTCCTGGCATTCTCCCCATCATCACCGCAGTCCAAGGCTTCAGTCATCTCCTGACTAGAGGTACTTTTGCATCTGCAGTGCTTTGTATTGAACTCACTGAAAAAAGGTGCTTTGGACATCAAGTTCTATTTGTTCTGGTTCCAGTGTAAAACTCTAAATGTTGTACATATCCAGACTGTATTGTAGACAAAGACAGATCAGACTGCAGTTAAGAAGCTAAAGGAAAGGAAAGCTTATTATTTTAAGATAAAATTTGTTTTGAGACTCACGGTCGAGACCAAGACAAAATTGAGACAAAATAGACTCAAGACCAGGTCTGGCCACGATCAAGATATGCTGATTGATAGGAATTACAATCATTTTGAGATCAAGAGATTGGCCATGTATTCAACCTGAGAAATCACAAAAATATGCCCCAAAGGAAGTGTTGACACCAGCGTGGCTGTGGTATTGACCCTCAAGAGTTGTTGACCCATCTTATTTGTGGCTGTAATTGGCTGTAATTAATGGTGTAACTATTACAGCCATTTGAGAAGAATTATGCTTTGAATTACTTATCATTTTGTAATACCAATTAACTACTCTTGTCCACAGATGCAGATGAGTGTGAGATGTATGGCCCAGAAATTTGTAAAAATGGTTATTGTGCAAACGTCTATGCCTCATATAACTGCTACTGTCACAGTGGCTATTACTATGACAACATGCGTATGGAGTGTGTTGGTAAGTCATTTTAATTTATGTTATTGAAAATAAAGGATAAATAGGTTAGTCAATTAATTAATTATTAATTAAACCACATAAAAAAAGATCTGTATTAATATGTTAATAGTGCTTTCATTTTAAGAAGCATTTCAAACCATATCCACTGCTTTTCAGACTCTTTAGAGGTACATTAGAGGCACCTAAAACTTGAGCTCATGTATCGAATTGCCCTTGTTTTACATGCCATCTATTTTTTTTTTGCACTTGTGAGTTTGTGTGTAAGTGCATTCATCTAAAATCTTAATCTATAAAGGTGTCAAGATTGTGCACTCCATAGAAGTGTTTTTACAGTAGTGATACTAATGGATAGCAAAAAAAAAAAAAAAGATGAAGAGTCTGTTTATCCGTTGCCCCACTGACACACGTGACATTTTTATAAAGCTGTGGTGTAATTACAGCTGGTCTAACTTTGGCCGTCCCTGTCCCCATGCTTTGTATATAAAAAATAAAGCATGCTGTTGTGCTGGTAGTGCATTGTAGACTGAACAGGCAGTCACAGCATGCCCAGATGTTTTTTTTAATGAATTTGGAGTAAGCATGTATTCTGCACATGTACCTTAGATGATGATGAATGTAAAGAGGAGAATCAGTGTGAACATGGAGAGTGTATGAACACACCCGGCTCCTTTAACTGCTTCTGCATTCCTCCACTCATCCTGGATGACACACAGCGTCGCTGCATCTCTGCCAACAGCACAGAGGGTGAGACTCTGATATCTCACTCACTGATATGTGCTGTGCTGTAGTGCTGACTGTCCTGTCAGTGAGAAAAATACATTCATATACCTTGGAACTGAAACTTTAGACCATTGCTGTTTTGTGCAAATGTCTTTTCTCATTTATTCTCAACAAATGTGTATATATATATAATAATTAATAATACACATATCAATATGTACGTATGTATATATTCATTGTATATATTCATTTTCATATCCTGTTCACATTCTTATCATATTCTTAACATGTCTTCACCACTGTACACTGAATGTACATACATATATAGATCACATTTATCCTTATTTATAATACCCACTGCACCTTCTGTACACAAGTCATCCATTCCCCTGTACATATCACCCTCATAGCTGTATATCCTTATTTGTAATTTATTGTAAATATGCCACTTATGCACTTCTGGATAGATGCTATTTCATTGGCTTAGTACATGTACTTT